CTCACCAGCCAATATTATGCCTTGTCGTGCTTCCTGTGGTGATATGAATCCATCCTTGTTGGTGTCAATTTCGTTGAATGCCTGCTTCAATTCCGCGATGAACAAAGGATTCTCGAATGTATCCTTTTCTGCTTGTATGAATTGTTTGAATTGTTCAAATGTGATCCATCCTGTATGGCCACTCAATTCAGCAATATATGCATTGATTGTTTCATCTCGAAAACCTCGAAGCGGTTCGTTACCGAAAACTTCACGTCGAAAGTTGGCTGTCGATATTTTCCCCGTCTTATCTAGATATTGGCACAAACAAGAATTTAGCAATTGGTTAAATAGAAAATCTGAATATGTTTTCAAAATTCTTTTTGACTCGTACACCTGAACGAAAACAAGTAGGCTGTAATTGATATCAGCAGAAGTCATACATAAATGAAGGAGAACTGAAATTGGGGTGCTACTCTTTATTGATTATTCTGGTGTGTAAATGTTGTCTAAAAATTCAATACTAGTCGATAAACTCTGAATTGAATTTTTATTCCAAGAATATCGTGTCATTTTAATTATTTGAAAGAAAAATATTCATTGAATCTACCGAGTGATAATCGATTGTAATCGTTTTGTTTTTCGAGAAATTTTTAAAAATAAGTGTCCTAGGCAATAAACTTTCTTTTTACTCAGTGTGATGAGCATATCTATAGAATAAGATAAGAACAGGACAAGACGAACCTATATCAATTGTATCGAACTCTTTTTGAAGATACTTGTCGTCTAGTTGCCGCTTTGTCATTAGTTTTGTACCTGATTCTGTCGATCGAAAGTGTTGCTCAAAGTAAAGTAAAAATCTTGCTTATATACATTCAAAGAAAAGAGAAAATGGAACAAAACAGAAACGAAAAGAGAAAAAGGCATCCTTGAGACTATAAACTGTTATTCATTTTGCTTTAATGGTACATGTGAGAAGGAATGAGAAAAAGCAAAGCACATAAACCATTTTTTCTCGCATTGATGGGGCACAATGTGGATTTTTCTCTTTCGATGAAGTGGTTACTCTCTTTGATAGAATGCCACACTGCTGCTTGCATGGCTTTCGATGATTTTTGAAAATAAGACGAAAGTAACTTGAATTTTTTGACGAATACAATTAAAACAAAGAGAAAAAAGCTGATTCTTAGGCCTTGAAGTTACTTGGAGTCAGCAGATGCATTTCCACTAAGTCATCGTTAACAAGATCTTTGAAGGAGCAAGAATGCATTTTTTATCAATAATATGTTTTCTACGAGGTGGACCATTTTATTACTACAGTAAAGAAATGCATGCAGTGTCTATCAAGCGTCATTATAGTGTCCTACATGGAAACAACACATACTCGAAAACCTTAGAATCGTAAAACAGCCCACAACTTTTTCTATGGTATGCAAGTACCTCCTATTGTGCTAGTTTAATAAAAACAAACTCGAAATAGTTTCAGATTGATTTCAGAATCAGTATGAAGTATTCTCAAACTTTTTTCTCTAGTGTCCGACAAAGTTTGTGCAATTTCGGTTTTCCCTATATTTTAGCACACATATATAGCATAGTCTTGACTTTTTCTGAAATTGACGCCCTCAGTGGTTTTACAAAACCTGATCAAAAACAATTTTTTCATTTATATTGATAATTGTGACTGTGGGCATGGCAATGGATGAACTATAGACTCACATACGCCGATATGTTTTCATGTTGTTTTAAACTCAAATGCCGAATATTTTAGGGTTTCCTAAACAAATAAAAACAAACATTTTTTTCTCCTCATTTAATCTAAGTACTGCGCGTCTTTCTCATAATCAGCTCATTTCTTTCACTGTTTGCTGGTAGATCAATTATTTTGAGTGATTTCCCTTAACCGTACAATTTATAGCTCTATCAATAAGACTTCAAAAATAAAACTTAGAAAAAGTCGGATTAATGTAACTGAATTATAGTAGTACAGTTCCCGATCTTTTGGTTAGTATTAGTATTCGCTGTGAGTTTTTTCTTGTTCGCTCTTTGTTAACATTTCAATTTGCATTATAATATCTTGACCGGAGTTCTTTACTAAATAATTCAATCTTCCTTATGAGAGAGACATAATTGGGTACTCGAAGTGGCTTGATAAATATTATTGAAGAATGATCAGTACACTGCTTTACTGGCTTGCGGGTAGATGACTCCAAAGAAAAATGTGATCAAATAACTAGGACGCCTTCGTAACTGATGTCTTTTGTTCCAACATACAAATTACTAATAAATAGATTTAATTGAGATCATCAGTCAAATAGGCATCTTTCTTCCGAAGACATGAATGTTTTAGTGATTTCTTGTCTCTGATAAGATTTTCGTTCAAAAATAGAATAAAGGAATTTCTCTCAGATGTTTTGCCCATAATTTGAGAGTGTGGGTGTTGGTGAAGAGAAGATACACCCATACCGACACCCACAGTCATACCATAGCCACACCCACCCATCCTCACACCCACATCCATAGCATGCATATCATCGATCGATTATGTTAAAGTTGTGAGTTTACATGGATGAATCACACAGTATTTGGCATGTTGCTACGAGTATTGATGTATAAGGTTATGAAAAGTCATGGTACTGAGAAGTCTCTTAAATGGCTATAGTCTGTGTTCTATGAATACATCACATTTGAATATGTATCATTGTCAACAACGACTAGAAGTGTCAAACCTATGCATCAAAGAGAATTTCAGGTTGTTTCGATGGTTCTTGAATTATTCATTTAAAATTAGAATAATGTCAACTACAATTATACCTTGAATTGTAACCTGATCATTCTAAATCTCAATATATAAGAATTCCAGCATGATTTATGACGGAGTGGAGTTATGATAAAATCTTTTATCGATCCTGTTCAAGTGTTCTTTAGATTATATGAAGACGCTAGATCGGAACAACTTTTCTGGCTGAATACTGAAACGTACAAAATGCTACACATCAAACAATTTTCTGATTTTGTTTTCAATGATGCTGGTCAAAATATTTTACTCTGCTATATTCTTTTCAGAATAATCTATATCTAAATTTACTATCTCTTATAGCATCCTGGTGAAGAATAGAACATACTCTTTTCGAGAAGGATTACATTTTTAGTTTGTATACAAAATAACAGCATTGGGATTGAGAGTTTTAGAAGACAAGAAGGGAATCGTTTGTATATTTGTGGAATTTTGGCATGCTTACATTTGCTGTGACTTTCATTGAGTTCATGCATTTTTCAACTTTCGCGACTGATACAGGAGAATTTATATAGATTAAATCTGTAAAGAATCGATACAACTTTCATTAGTTCTTCTTCGATTCATACAGGACAAAAATCTCATATGACAATGTATGCGAGAAAAAAGGGTGTGGGTAAAGTACGACTCTTCTTTCATTCACAATGCGCGCCCACAGTATTTTTATCATAAATGATAGGTAGTCATACATTGGTTTGCCATAGTAGTAATGCGACCTCATTAACAGAATGAATTGATCAAATTATCACTTTGAAAACAAAATCAATATCAGTATTTGTGAGTTAATCTCGATATTTAATAGTTCGTTAATGTTTGAGGTAGATATAATGTATATACTGTATAACAAGCTTATTTTCCAGTTCAATTAATGCTTAGAATGATGATAATACAGTTAAATTAAGAGAAAAAAAATGTGAAAAATAAAAATAACGAGCAGATAGCACCAATTGAAACAAAAATAGAGCGCCACTAACAGGAATTCTGTTTGAAATGTAGAAATAGATACGGCATATTGTTTTTCTGCGGACTGATTATCTTGAAAAACAATTCTAATATGCGAAAAGTTTTTGCACTCTGCATATTGTGTATTAGTATAATCGGGATAAAGAATCCATGTGAGTTCCATATTTCAGTCACAAAGCGGATGTGCTAACAAGTTTTTTCTCATATTCTTCTTTATTAAACATTAATAGTAAATTATGAAAGAAGCTTATTTCTTAGAAATTCATCAGAGCTCTTTTCTTCTTCATTTCTTTATATATTTATTTCTTGCGTATGAAGTTATCTTTCTTTATGTCAGAAATGTGGCGTAGAGAAAAAAGTGAGGATGAAAGGAATTTTTTGAGAGCTTAAGATGTGCATATGCGATTTTTTGAAAGTGAAAGAGGTACTGATCTTTCTTTTTAAATGAAAAATACGATATCTGCTGGAAATAACTGAAATTTTTCTAAAAACCGGGGCGGGGGGGAGGCGTACTCCTCCCCTCCCACCCGTAATAACTACATTCCTGCTTCCTTTATCTAATATTCATTCATTTCTTATACTAGAATCAAAAGCTATGAGAGCAAATTATGTTTAAAATTATCAGAAAGATTTATTCATTATTAGTTATTTTGCTTGTGTGTTATTTGTAATTATTCGCTTTATTTATTTATCTCGCATTCACGCCCTTAACTACTTTGCACACAGAGTTTAATTGACAGTAGAAAAGGTGGACTGTCATATTGGTCGATGGCCCTCCAACAATAGATTAATTAAATAGCAAATAGGTTAGAGAAATAGTTGCTTTGTTGATTACTATTGTTATAGAATTCTTTTAGAACGAGATAGTTGACTGAAAGTCTCATCGATGATAGAAACAAACTGAGAAAAACCTGCTTTTAAAATTCAATAGTTTCTTTTGATCCCGGCTGTGACTCATCAGTTATTAAAATGAGATTGATTACATTGATTTATTAATGCTTTACACGACATAAGAGTGCATAGCGTAATCGTAGAACATCATTTGCCTACGGCAGTACAACCTTTCATCATTTTTGTCGTATCATGTAGCAAAAAAGGTTTCTTTTTTTCATGATTCACAGCGTTCCACAGAAAAACAGATGTTTTCACAATAAAATTTTTCTAAGAATTCTTTACAACGTAACAGTCTCTTTCTTCTTTATTTTAATATTTGTAGACATCATTGTCGCAAAACGAAAAAATTTACCATGTCTTAAATTCAAAGATGAATAACCAAACGAGTAATATTTCATTTTCATTACATGGTAAATGTTTTATCAGTCAAACTCAACGTAGTATAACTATGCCTGTTTTAATAATATTCGAGCTGCCATCATTGATCTGTTTTCTCATAATCTTTTATTACTTTCTTCAATTACGTAAATCAATGCTTTTTGATCGTATCAATCATCATGTTATTTTATTGATATTGATCAGTGATTTTTTGTTAATTGCGACTGAATTACCAATTTCATTGTATTATCTTGCAATGGGATATATCCAAACAGCAAAGATATGTACATTTTGGATCTATTGGGATTATACACTTGAAACCACATCTCTATTCTTAACCATGTATGCATCTATTGAACGTTATCTATTGGTATTTCATAAAAGCAATTTTTTAAAACGAAAAGTATTATTTCATTTTATTCCAATGGTAACTGTTGCTCTTTACATTCCTGTTCTGTATATGTATCTGATTGTTCTTGCTCCATGCGTCAAGAATCATCAATACGATTTAACTGCATTTGGTTGTGGTGGCCCGTGTTTTTTTGCCCAGACTTTAGTTAATATCTATGACACCATTATTGACACAATGTTACCCTGTTTTATTATAATAACTTTTAATCTTTTAATGATTGTTCGTTCTAGCGTTTTAAAACGAAGAGCATTAACATCATTATCAATCTCCAATACATTGAGACGAAATCGCCGAATGATTACACAACTATTAGCTATCAGTTTGATGTGCTTAATAGCATGGATACCTTGGGTTGTTATAATCATTGGGCAAAACTTTTTTGATTCATCTTTTGGTGACTGGTTTATTACTCATATTGTTCATTATTTACCATATTTAACAGCTTCCATATCACCATTTTTAGCCTTAATCGGTTTGCCATCGATCAGACAACGACTGAGAGTATTAAAGAGGCAAATGATAACTGCTAAAAATACCACTGCTTCAATCTCAGAAAATAAAACGGCAACAACAGTAGAAAACCGAAATGAACCAATCGTGACTAACTTTAAATTAAAAAACATTTCACTTGATAGCAGTGATGTTCAAACCACCCGTTTTTAGTAAGAATACAACATGGGAGCCTCCCAAGAAGTATTCAGAATACAAGAATCTTTGATGAGTTACACTGAGAAAATCGAAACATTCTCTGTAGTCTTGCATATGGAGTCTTACGTACTTTCCGCTATTCTACCATTTTTATGATGCTCGTAATAGTAGTATTCGCTTTTATTGTATATCTTACTCGATTGTATATATCCGTAACGGAAGAAATCGTTTATGTATTCGTCAGTAATCATAATTAAAAGTAATAACTGATTGGAACATTTCAACACGACGTTTCTTGAAACTGCAAATTTTGAACAAAAGATTTTATCTCACCTTTTGCATACTCAAGGTAATCCAGTAGACAATAAAATGTTTTGACAATAAGACAGAAGCTCAAAAAACAAATTGACTAGACACTTATGTATTGATCAGTTATTAGAATATATACAATGGTTTGCAAAAATACTTGGAACAGTCTCACATTATGAACTTTTGATGTTTTCTAGATCCTCTTGAGCCTTTGTTTTGCAGTAATTCTAGATTTATACTGGGCAGATTATCCTCTAAAAATTTGCATATATTCGATCAAGTTCTATTGTATCATAGTATAATAATAATCTGATATAGCAAAGACACACCGTCTCAAATCACATCATACTTCTGTGTTACATTATGAGAACATGAGAATTCGTTATGTCAGAAAAATCTACCGATATATAAAGATACTATTATCTAGAATTAGTTACTGATATTAAAAGATCAGAACTCGAAGCTTTCTAAAATATCGAACAGTCAATGGTTGAAAACGTGTTATTGATGCCCGATACAGCCGAAAATAAGGTCAATTTATTCGACAAAATAATCAAGTGATATTGAAAGAGTTTGTTGAAAACTGACATAAACAATGTGAAATGATTGTTTACACGAGCAAAATCAAGCGCCATTTAAATTTTCTTAAATATTAATACTGAAAAATTTATAATTAATTTGATTAATAGCATAGAAAGCAGATATCTCTTGATTATAGAATCAAAAGAAGAACGAATCAAATCTTGAAATAGATATTCTAAGACCGTAAACTGATATCTTTTAAATGGAGAAATATATTTTTGAAAGCACTTGAACTAGCCCCTAATACAAACTAAAGATTTGTTCCAAGTTTTTTTGCAAACCATTGTATATAAATCTCATTAAGAAAAAACAACATTTTCTTCTCAAGATAGGTCACTTGCAAGAATGTCATAGTCTATAACAACATGAGATAAATGCACTCTATTTATAAGCATCTGATTTCGATAGGAAATCGGATGAGAAAGTTGAGTGAATGAGAATGAACAGATCAGAGATTTATTTTTCTTGACTATTTTTCTTGCATAAAAACTTTCTGGATATCATGTTTCAGCATGGACCATCCGGCAACAATATATGTTATAGATGAATAACAGATATGAGCAATACTGCGACTGCCCAACTCATGGTAATGATGTCAGAGTTCTGCGGAACGACAATAAATTTATCTGTGATGTTTCCTATTGTGCCAGTTGTCAAATCTCTCCCATCTTGTTGGACTCTGTGAAAGTTATTGCATGACTAAGGCTCGATGATCCATTCTTTTAACCTTCAGGATATCAATTATCGTCACTAGATTGAATGGAACACTGATACGCCGACAACTTTAGATGTCGAAGAGGCTGCAGGTTCTGATATTTCACATCAACTGTACGATAGCGAACAAGAGTCAGCGAGAACAGATCAACATTCAAAATAATTTCTCGACGAAGTCATGAGTTTATTTTCTTGTCAGAGATTGATATGTGGAAGTTAATCAAGACTGTTTGAATATTTGAATAGTTGCAACATGAATTTCGTAAGGGCTGAAATAATTTGACTTTGAAAACAAATTTAAATAGAGTTGATATCAGTGTGGAAGTAACAACTATTTTTCAAAAAGTTAATAGTTGAGAACAGTGGCGAAAAGTTGAAATGATTATATTTATCATGCATTAAAACTTCATTCACTTATTAAATTTCTGAACAGATTTTATTAAGTTGACATAGTAATCACTTTGATTTACATGACATTTTTGACAAATCAGATAAAAATATATGTATTTCAACATTCTCTACTTCTGTAAATTAAGTATTTTAAAATTCATTTCTGAGTCTTTATGTGTCAAACCGTAGGCTACATTTTCTTATGTTTGTAATATATTGAGTGTGAACGCTCGAGTAAAGTAATATATTTTTCCATGTATGATCAATGATAACCTTTGAATTCTGAGTAGCTGAAAACAATATCCAGAAAGTGGAACTATTCTAGTCCTATTTTTTTTTATTTTCTAAGATGGCAATCATCTTCAATTTATACTTTGAGGAATTTTAGATATATAATCCACCATTATTTAAATTTGCACGTATATTCGTCTGTTTTTTTTCTTCATTCTTCTTTGCTGGCAGTCTAACAAGTCGAGAAAAGAAGATTTATAGAATAGATAATTCAATCAGTATCTTATAAAATAAAGTAAAGGACAAATAGTTGCTACATTATTTAGAAGTAGAAATCGATGGCGTCAAGATGATATCTAATGTAGGCATACGCAATCTATCGACGTGGATATTATTTATACTATTAATATGTTTAAATTCATGAGCAATATTCAAAATGATGTTGATTAGTGATGATAATAAAAATGACTCTGAAAAAGGTTTACGATTATAACCATGGTCAAAAGTTATTACTATAACTGGTAGTTATAAGTTTTATTGAAAGTTATAACAGTTGATTGCGATACTAAACATGCTTGAAATCTATATTTTCAATAAAAACGATTGTAGTTTGTTTCTTTTTGTTTGTAACTGTCAACATCGAGAAAATCCTTAATATTGCATAGCCTAGAATACATCGCCTAGCTCACGCTCGATATATAATTACGTGGAAACTTGGTTTGCGATTGACTACACACAGGGCAGAAAACAATTTATAAATGTTTGTTTACTGAAGTGAAGAAAGTTTATATATGTATATTTTCATATATTTTGTCAAACATGTCAAGAAAATCAAAGTGATTACTCTGTCAGCTTAATAAAATCTGCTAAAAAAAAATGAATAAGCTAATGCAGTCAAAAAACGAGGAATAACTACAGCTGATAGATATAACTTTATTAACTTTTTGACGAAAAAGTTTATCAGTTATAACTGAAAATTTATAACTCGAGTTATAACTCGGCCAATTTTAACTCTCATATTGATTGACGTGCTCTCCACAAAGAAATTCCTCATAAATCATCTATCTGGTTATTGACTAAAACATAAAAAGCATCTATAATAGTTACGCCTTCTGAAACAGCAGGATTCCAGCAAATCTGGAAGACCTTTTTCGTTGCTTCGCCGTCAGATCACATATATTACAAAACAATTGACTTCAAAAAAACTAGCCCACTTCCAAACCATTTAGTAGTCATAGCACAACGTGAAATACTCGAAAAATCGTCATATATTCTCTAAAATACTTGTGTTTGTTAACATATACCCCAGAAATTACAAAATAAACACTCATTGAAATTTATGCGACAATAATAGAAATGGTATATGTGATATGAATTGGTGTAGTTTTGTTGTGAGCAACGATTCATATGTGTGTTCGTCTGCTGCAATCATTGTTTTAGACCATCGATCACTCTTTGAACACTTCATAACCAGAACTCTCGAGAACATTCTCGTTGGAGTATGTCGCATACGGATCCTGGTAAACGATGCTACATCGTACTCAATTGATCATTTAGCACATTTAGAATTTGATTAAGATTGAACACTGATAATTTTATGTGACTCGCTGAAGATTGAAAATTTTGATAGACATTTGACGTTGGCATTGCAACGAACGGTGATGATATTAGTTTGCCTTACATGTTTACTGTTTCTTTTGTGATGGATTGATCCCCTATCACACAGTCAATCAAATAAAAATAAACATCAGATAGTATTCTAACGAATTTCCCAACTCGTTTGATCATATTGAAGAGATTCGTTGGAGTGCTACGGTTGTAACAAATATTGTTTGAAAATGAGTTAGACATTATGATACAATGATTCGAACTTATTTTGACGATAGACATCACTCGAGTGATAGAAAAGTTAGTAAAAAAACTGAACTCGCTTGAGTATGAAGAAAAGAAAAATATTGATAATTGTGAGCCTATGAGTTTTAGAAAATCTAATTTTCTGCATTCTTTTAGTAAGCAGTCCAAAACTTCACTCAAACCAACTGATACAAAATTGCATATGTATGAAGAGATAAAGAATTTTACGACGCTTATTTTCACATAAAAGTTGACACTTAAGGATAATATAAACCAAAAAGCACTGGTAATGCCATTTATTCAGTATCAGACAGCATTCTTTTTATTCTGATTCTCTAAAGCAGTATTTGATTTTCACTTTCATTTTGATCTTAACGAAAATCGGATGAATTTATGTCAGATAAGTTAAGAAGAGGATAGTTATTGTCGTACCCATCCTGATTATGATCGTAGCCAATAATTTTCCAAGAGGAATGCCTATCAACGGGATCATACATTTTTCTTTCTCAACAAAAAAAGATTTTTACCCGTATCCCTTTCCAGATGTAATCACTAAGCACATACCTATCTGGTCAATTTCTAAAAATTTTCAAATACTCAGATCATCGCAGAATGGAGTTACATAATTTATAGGCCCAAGATTCCATTGAAACAAGGTTTTCAACGCAATTCCTATGAGTAAAAATTGTGTCATATGTCATTCAATGCAGATTCTTATGGACTATAAGACGATATACTTTGATTTCAACAGTAATCATAGCAACAATTGAAAATCATGAAAATATTGTATTACACTATTTGTGATGTAACCAACAATATTATCCGATATAAGAATATGTGCGTTGCTTGTTTACTTACAATGGCTCTTTGCTTGTTTGTGCATAGCCAATGGTGTGTAATTAGAAAAAAATGCACTATTTTCCCACTGGATGGAA